CACCACCCATCTTGAGGAGTTTGCCCCCTCACATATACTAATGTGCCACAAACAGGACTTTAATATCACCAACCATTCCCATGTTATTACGGTGTATCCATATAAATGGCCCACCCTGTATGTTGAAAAAAGTGTTTGGCCACACCTCTTAATCTTTGAATTCAATTGTTTACAGTGCCAAAGGTGATTAGAATCACACACCTAGCAATGCAGTCTGCCTTTACAAAAATTTGTGAAAGAATGGATCTTTTAAAAGAGCTCAGTATTGGAGCATGGTACTGTAATAAGATATTAATAATCAGATCAATAATAATCAGTTTGTGAAGGTTCCTCCCTCCTAGATATTCCACGATCAAATGAAATGGTATAATTGCAAAGTTAAAGCCTTGATGGAACCAGGGCAACTCGGCCATGAAGTTACAGAGCAGGGTCGCCAAGTCCCAATGCTCTGAAGACTCATTAACTGGAAATTTCAAAACCTCTGGCATTTACAGCAACACAAAAAATGCACTAGGAGCATCATATCATGGGTTTCCATGGCTGAGCATCTCCTGTAGCATTAATGTGGACATGGACCAGTACATTGGCCACATTCTCCAAAGTAAAGTTTATATTTTCAAAGAATTGTTATAATTGTGGCTAATTATCAGCATGAAAACAAGTATTTTGAAAACAAATATTTTGGCAGGCTTTAGTCCAGCTGTTAGTCGCTTATCTGGAAAAAACAAAAAACAAAAAACGAAGCACTGTAGACTTTAAACAGGCTTTCCCTGTTATGATGAGTCAAAGTATCTGCAGTAAAGTTGTCTTTCTTATTACAGACATCTTTACTACCAAAGCAAGAAAAGCACAAGTTTAGCCATTAACCGTGTTAATGGCCTTGTAACACTGAATTATCACTGTAAGTCTGACTTGTGAATCAGTCTGCATTATGGGAAAAAAAAAAAGAAGGACCTTGCTCACCTTAATGGTAAACAGTCATTAACAATGTTGTTAACTGCACCTTTTCTTTTCCTGTCAGGAACATCAACTTGTTTCATGTAGTGACTTTAAATTACCCTCATTAAAATGCATAAATATACAGTGATTATAGTGCAAGTGATGATTTTTATTTTTTATTTTTTTTACAGATTTACCTTTTTGACTTTTTGAAAAAAGGCTATTGAAAGAATAACTTTTTAAGTCTATCTTTATGATGCTACGAGGTTCAAGCGTGAACTATTGTGTGTGCGTCCTGCGAGAGTTTGTGATGATTGTGGTGTTTGACTATTTTTATGATGCTACAAGGTTCAAGTGTGTGAATTATTGTGTATGCATCCTGCAGGAGTTTGTGATGATTGTAGTGTTTGGCCTGGAGTACATCATCCGGATATGGAGTGCTGGCTGTTGTTGCCGCTATCGAGGCTGGCAGGGACGTCTCCGCTTTGCCAGAAAACCGTTTTGTGTCATAGGTAGGTCTGTGTGAAGATGTTGCTATGTAACTGTACAATTTATGAATGCAGCCATTCACAACTCCAAACAGTTTAATTGTGTTTTGTATAGCGTTCTTTTAATATCTTCCCTGTGATGTTACATATAGTTTCTTATATAAACAGGTTCATAAGTAGGAAGTTATACTTTTGTTGCAACAATGTTGATAAAACTTGTCTTCCCTTAGTTACTACAGGTACAGTTACCACTGTCACAGCTATGGGTAGAACATAAAAACACACATTTTTAAAAGACTGCAGTTCTCAGTTCTTACTTTGGTGTTCAAGCAAGGAAGACGTCAATATTCTCAGGAAATTCAGTGAGACAAAATACGTATGATATCTTAAAGCTGTGGATATAATGACAAACAAAGACTTATGTAAACATGTAAATAAAAGGAAAACAACAGCTTCTAGCGAATAAGTAGCTGTTTTAAAGGTGACGGATGGCAGGTTGGATGGATTTAGAAAGTAGGTGAGTCAACCACAGTTCCTGTTACTAATATTGTGAAACCCATGACCTTTAATTTCCCTCTTTTACTCCCCAGACATCATCGTACTTATCGCCTCAGTTGCTGTGGTTTCAGCTGGTAGCCAGGGTAACATCTTTGCCACATCTGCGCTGCGTAGCCTTCGCTTCCTTCAGATCCTGCGCATGGTGCGCATGGACCGTAGGGGAGGGACCTGGAAACTGCTTGGATCTGTAGTTTACGCACATAGTAAGGTAGGGCTTTTTTTAACAGTCATTTCAGGAGTCTATCTACAACTAAACATATAGAGAGGTGTTTGGATCTGTGTGTGTTTGTCTAGATCACTAGGTGGCCTGATTTTGTAGGTTTGCTAATGGTGCGTGTTGCTACATTTGCTAACAACCCACCTCTTTTATTGTGTATTACAAATCACTGTTGTATGTTAATTAAACGAATATAGTATACAAAATGTAATTAATCATCTAAATTATTTCAAATACAGAAATAAACCTATGACTGTTTCTGCGGCTGAAGTGGAGCTGGCTTTAAACTACTTTGTATCAGACTTACTGGAATGACTGTTTACACAAACCTTAACTTAAAAGCTTGAAAGCATTAAGTAACTTTAGCTGTCAAAGAAGTCTAAAATGTGACTGGACATTTTACTTGCTCGTTCTACTGCTGAGCTGCTCTTTGGACTGGCCCCAGTACCTACTCCATTAAAGCTGCAGTCTCACCTGCTTAAAAGGGCAGCAGAGCAGTTCGTCAGGGCCACTTTTGATTTAATGTGAGCAGCTTGCCGCCATTTCCGTAAACCTTGTTAGTGCTTACCGGAAAGATTGTACATTGGTCATTCTGCTCTTCTGGTTAACTACAAACACTTGCAGTTCATTCTGAGACTTTGGCTTCTTCAGTTTGACTTACTAAATATGTTTATTTAGTGCTCATCTTCAAAGTGTAGCTGGGGACCGGGCCAGTGGTTAGCTTCCTCATCCAAATGTCACACATGTAGACAAACTGTTTGTTTAGACACATTCACTTGTGAATGTTTTTTGTTTTGCTACTGAAACATCTGTAAACTGTGAATATGACTCTTAGATGAGGAGTCTCTTATGTTTGCTTCTTTGTTTATTTCTTTTTTAAAGCAACCATGGGCCCTTGGTTCTCCTCTTTTGTTGTGTTCTCTGTTAACACTGTTACTCATTAAAAGATTAAAATCTTGCCTTTAGCTGTTTCCACTGTTAATGTTACATCCCCTTATCCCTGGAGAGAGCTGGGGTCATTACAATTATAAATAAAAGCTGTGTGGATAGAAAAGGCACAGTTAATTAAAGTACAATTATTCTCACTTTTGTGCTGCACAAAAATTGACGTTGTGCAAATATATTCCTCTACTGAATAATAAACTGTATATAAAGGATGGGCTTGGCCGCCAAGTCATCATCCCATTATTTTGCAGACTAATGGGTGATCCTTTTGAAGCTTCGAGTTTGTGTTTTGGTCATTGCTAATGACAAATAATGGTTGAATTTGAAGAATATTTTAGCTAGCAACAAAGTACTTTGATATCAGCTTTACTGTGTATGGGACTATCATTTCAAAGCCAACATCCTTCTGTAAGACTTGAAACTTGCAGTGAGATTTTACATCAGCAAACTGAGCTAATTGGAAACTGTCACATTTATTTAAAATAGCATCAATGCAATGTTGTTGAGTTGTTAAATGGCACCTGACAATCTGTTAGTGCTAGTTTTTAATCACCATTTTCACAGGTACTTTATAAAGTATACTATTACTGTTCTGATTGATATATTATATGCAGATGTAATTTCTTTTATTTGCCAGTTGCATGTACTCCTGATATTGTGACCATCCGTCTTGTTTATGCATTTATGTTCATATTTATTTTGTACTGTATTCACTGTTGGTGCAGTGAACTTTAAATTGACCAAATTTTCATTGAAAAATATTGTTTTTTTTCTCCATACCACAAACCAAGTTGAAAAGTGGGGAAAAGATAATAATGTTACTTATTGACTTATGTGGAGTGGTGAAAATCTCAATAGGGAGCGATTATATTCAAAAGAAAAGAATCAATCAATATCTTTCACCATGTTTGCAGCACAAGGTTAGAAATCATCTTTATGAAAATATAAAGATCTTTTATCTGTATTTCTTGCAGGAGCTGGTGACTGCCTGGTATATAGGGTTTCTGGTGTTGATCTTCTCCTCCTTCTTGGTCTATCTGGTGGAGAAAGAATTCAACAAGGAGTTTGCCACCTACGCTGATGCTCTGTGGTGGGGCACGGTGAGCACATGGAGATGCACACTAACCTGGCACACGGCATGCTGTAAAACACAGCCGGTTAAAATTATTTTAGTCCTGTTTGTGACATCCTGAAGTCCCAGCTAAAATAACCATAACTTAATTGAATGACAGCTGAATCATTTGTATTAACTCTTAAAATGAACTCTTAACTCTTAAAATATTCCAAACCCATCATAATTTTTTCACATGCAAAAAATAAAGAAAACTTTTGTCGCTCTGATCTTGCAGCAGTGACATATTTCTTTTCATAGTTTGTCTGTGACCTTAATGACACCTGCAATACAAAAACAAGGAAGAATGGTCTTTAAATTCACACTTGGCTGGCTATATCGCACTGTTTCTTCCTTTGAAAATATGGACACAGACAACACACAAACAAGAAACGGCCCAATCAATAAAGTCAATTTTCTCCTGCGGCCAGGTGCGACTGGCCTATTCGGCTTGTGGGAATGACACATGCTGCGACCTTGGAGAAGATTCTGTCTGGTAGACACTAAAAACTGTAGTATTATACTTGCTAAAAGCTCAAGTTTAGATACATTTAATTTTAAGGTGAAAAAACAGAGATCCAGAAGCCAGTTTCACAGATTTAGAACCTGCATTTCACACAGCTTTCGGAATGCTGAGGATATTTTCCTTCACACTGATTAATCTTTTATTCCCTGGTTGGAAAAATATGAACATTTGGGAGATGCACAGCGTGCCATTCAGCAGATGTTGGTGTTCTTTAATTCTGTTTAATAAGTGCATTTGAGAAATTTGTTTGAAAGTAATTAACTCTTGTCTTTACCGGTTATTGAAGATTATAAAAATTATTAATATCACTTATATTTGGAAATTCATTTGAAATGAAGTTTAACAAATGATGTAGATAGGAATGTGGTACCTTGAAGGCAAGACGTTTTTGTTAAATGTAATAAAATGATGTGAACTGCTTCTGTGCACTTTTCAGTCTTTGTAAGAATATCAGTTAAATTTGAGGAAGTAAAACCAAAAAGCAGACAGTACATAAACGTGCACATCTCAGTCTCTACTTGTACTTGTACGCTTTTACAATACTGTGAATGTGATGCATGCTTTGATGTTCATATCTGTTGTGTATATGAAAGCGTTGAGTCTCTTTTATTTCAGCGTGCAAAAATATAATTTCCTTCATCCTGTGAGTTAAATTGTATAAATAAAATGATGTTGGCTATGATTATTTGAGTAGTGTCCTCTGAACTTTCAGATCACCCTTACAACTATTGGCTACGGTGACAAGACCCCACAGACGTGGACGGGGCGGTTATTATCAGCGTGTTTTGCTCTGCTGGGGATCTCCTTCTTTGCCCTGCCAGCTGTGAGTAAAACATCGTGGCACAATGACTGATTACACTTTCTGTATTTCTTCAAAATAATCTGTACATATTACACAAATAAGAGCAGGCGCTTTTTTTCTCTATGGTGAATTTGCTTCAAGTTTAAACTCAGTGTGTGTCTTTGTTTTCTCCACATAGGGCATCCTAGGTTCAGGCTTTGCCCTGAAGGTGCAGGAGCAGCATCGACAAAAGCACTTTGAAAAAAGGAGGAACCCAGCTGCCAGCCTCATCCAGGTAGATACTCAGACATGCAGAGAACAAACACACCTCACCTCGACTGATGTTTTTTTTTCAGTAGAAGCAGCTGAGTACCAGTGTGAATAGAATAAAAAAAATTCCCTTTATGTGAAAATGTTCATGGATTTGTGTGTAGTTCACGTCCATTTTGCCTGTTTTTAAATAAAAGCATGAGTGTGTCCACTCTTTACCCTTTGTTGAAGTGCAGGTGTGCATCACTTCTATTACTGTAGGGGTGTTTCATTAAGAGCGTACTTAATGTGAGTGTGTGTGTGTATGTGTGTATTATGCTCTTCTCGGCCTTGTCAAGGTGTGTAGTTGGTGATGACTAACAGTGTGTGAGGCACACTGCCGACTCTCAGGTCCAACTGCAACACACACTGCTGGGATTTATGAGCCGTTTCCATGGCGATCATTCCCTGGGCGGACGCTCCTTCAAACTATCACTTATTGTAATAGACAAGACCAGCTGCATTGCTTGCTAATGAACAATAAATATCTGCTGTGGAGTGTGTTCCCTGAAGTGCGCAGCTAAATGTGTGTGTGTCTCTTTTTTGCATGTATTTGTGAGACTGCATGTGTTTGTTTTTGTGTAGGCGTTTGTCTGTTCTGTCTACCTTCTCCTATCTTACGAACTACCTTGCACTACTTTCTGAAATTTTCCGGTCAGTAATGGAATCCAAACTCGAACGTCTGAGTCTCACGCTGCTGTTTCGAATGTTGTTCTAAGCTGTATCAGTTATGATAATATGATAGTATCAAGTTCGCCAACTGTTAGACACAGCTAGACAAAAACTTCCTCACACTTTAAATCCAAAACTCTACTGCTGACCCAGTTTTAAAACTGCATATTTGGAAGTGGAAATCTGGAAATCTAAATTGTTACCCAAACTGTCTGTCATCATTTGCATCTGTTTCTTAATGAAGGGGTTTCTAGACTGTCATAGTAGCCTGACAAGATCTTTCCCTTTCCAAGGATATCTACAAATGCGGCCAAGAAGTCTTGCATTTTCTTCCCTCATTGTCCCATATCCGCTGTCAGTCGTTTGACGAAGCAACCGAGCGATCATTGTCATGCTTGTAAAGAACTATCTCATAGTAATGTAAATATGTCAGTCAAACTAAACCAAAGGAAATCTAAAGCATACAAACAATGGAAACTAAACTTCACTGTTGGTCACATGCAGCAGTCTGGTCTTAATATCAACCTGATAGCTCAGGGAATGCCGTTGTAATTTCTTTATGTTCTAAATAGAACATATGTCGGTGCATATCATGTGTTTTAGTGAATAATTAATGGTAACATTAAGATACAATTTCTTAGATACTTTGCCATCTGTTTGACAGCATCTTCCTGATGAAAATAAATGAGTAAATAATTTATACATAGCATTATGGATCCACTGTATTCTCACTGTATGCGCACACATGGTATGGGTGCTTTTCCCTTCCAAATAAGTAGTCGGATGATATGGGTAAAGTTTTCATAAATATTTATATGAATATTTCATTAAATCAAACCAATGTTTTGTCTGATCTCCTTGTTATGTATAAATATCTGTTGTTAGCATAGACGAAATCCAGTTGGAGCCCAACTGATCCTTAATAACCCACTAAGTGAACAATTAATCCAGTGTATTGGTCTTGTTCCTCTTTTACTGGCTGTGTATCAAGTATCTGGTCACTGTCTGTTATCTGCCAAGTTCATAACATTTTCCTCAACAGGTAAAAGGAAACTTGGAAGCACCTGTGAAGTGTTAAATATGTGGACGGCGTCATTACTCTGTCGCTTCACTCCCCTCATCTCACGCAGCTCTCCCTGCTTTTAATCGCTATTTTCTGTGTGTGCATAACAGAATATTACTACTGTCCTCAAGCCTTCACAGCTGGTCAATTCGAAATTTCAACATCTGTCATGGTCGTTTTGCCAAATAACTTTTTGTGTAATTTTCAGAACAAGATTGAATCTATAAATGATATTAAAGTGTCCACATAATGATCAGCAGCCAAAACTGACTAGCGTTTGGCAGGTGGTCAGTGTTAATTTTCCATCCTGTCTGTGTGAAGTGTTTATATTTGGGTTTTCCAAGTCATGTCTGAAATCTTGTAACCATACCTGGCAAGTTTGAGGAGGCTGAGTCAGCTGCAAGTAAATTATGGTTGACGATGTAAAGGAAGCAACCTTTAAAAGATAGGTGGCACACAGCTTGTGGCCTCATCAGTTATTACTTTTGAATTAGGTTCACTGTTAATCTGGCATAGAAGACTGTATGACCGGCTCAGTTAAATAAGATGATGTATAAAGAGTACTTTGTGTCCATCACTGGCTCTGACAAACACCCTAAACACACTGATGTCTCATCCTGCCCCACTGTTACAACTTGCTGATAACTTTACCAGCAAACACGCGATTTCCATTGATAAATTTAAACAGTCCGTTGCACTTAATATTTCTCCTGCACTGAATTTAGAAGGTGTCCTAATCTTTTAGTTTAGCCTAAATGCTAAACTAAAAGCACATATATTTTGTAGACATAGATATATACATGAAAACTTGATGATTTTTAAGTTTTGTTTTTTCTGCTGTTATTTCAATTATATTTGCATGTTCGAAATAAAATTATATCTATCTATCTAAATGCCAAGAAGCCATTTAATTTCTGATGTACAATCACCATAGCGACAAAGAGCAATTAAATCCATGCACAGCTAAAAGGAAAACAATTCACGGCTCTCCACACTCTTTGTATTAGGCGGCTGTGTCTCCTTGTCACTTCCATCTGCCAGCAATAAACTGATAAATGCCTAAGAGCAGATGTTTGTGTGAAAGTATTACGACGGGTTAAAGAAACCCAAATGTTTTTTAAAAGCTGCTGAAATTAAAAAAAATAAATACAGGAATGACTGAACCTTTATAAAGACCATATTAAATGGAAAAATAGGAAAACTGAGAGTCAACATGCTTCTACCAACATGAGAGTCATGTAGGTAGAAGGCACATTTCTCACTGATAGGTCAAATACAATCTGGTATATTCCTCCAAGGTAGGCCTCCAAGATTCTTTCTGTAAGATATTTTTAATTTTATTATATTTCTTATAGCCAGCTAGCATTAGATTTCCTACAGCTAATAGCCATATGGTGCTAAAATAATCCTTTGATATTGTGAAATCCAGCAAACCTGTTGCTTTTTGTTAGCATTTCAGCCCATGTTTGCATTTTATACAGATATGTTTTAGACATATATAACAGATTGCACTCTGTCTCTGTAGTTTAGCATTGCTTTGACAAAAGTTAATATGGAATAGCATTAGAACACTGGTTTCACACTTTTGTTCATATCTTTGAGAAACGATGTCAAATTAACTAAAGTGACTGTAAATGACACAATTTACTCTTCATATCTGTACTGACAACCTCCACAATATCTGCCAGGTGGTTACAGGCTTTTAAACTGGAAGTTACGTTTTCACATAAACCTCAGTCTATTTTCCCTCACCAAGTTTGTGTCATTTCTGTGTTATGTCTGTTCGTGCGTGTGCACATGTGAATGTGTTTGTGTCTTGTCCATCTCTGCTCCTCCCCCACCCAGGCAGCTTGGCGTATGTACTCCACCGACGGTGCTCGTCCCTACCTCAGAGCCACCTGGCACCACTACCAAAGCGCTCTCCCCCCCCTCAGGCATGTATCCCCTCCACCAGCACCACCACCATCACTGCCCCACCTCCCTTCAACATCCCCCAACCGCACCGCATCAACACTCCCCCCAAAAACTAATCAGGTTTTTCTTTTTCCCTCCTCACTTTTCTTCTCTCACTTCCTACCCAACCTATATGATCCTCCCTCACCCCTTTTTTGCTCCGTTTATTGTTCGATTTATCATTACTTTATTTATCCTGTTGACTCTGCACGTAGTGTGTCTGGCGTAGTTATGCTGCTGATGAGAACTCGGTTTCCATTGCTACCTGGAAGCCTCATTTGAAGGCGTTGCATACCTGCAGCCCCGCCAAGTAGGTAACAACTTACAGACTTACAATCATGGCCTCTGCTGCTCAGCCCTCCTTCTCATCTTTTCCTCCTCACCTGGTGTGTGTTCACCTCCTCTGGTGTAACCTCGGCTGCTGTTTCATTGCATAACTCATTGTTATGAATCATTGTAACGTTCTTTTTTTCATAAGCATACCAAACTCTGGAATGTCTTGCTGATGGCATAACTTTCACTATCCTCAGATTCACACATAAGATTTGTCAAATCTTATGTGTGCAACATATATGGTTGCTGATGTGTTTTGTTAACAGTTTGTCTGATGATTGAGTACATTTTGTAAATATTTAGTGCTGAAAATGCCTGCCAGACAGGTTAAAAGAAAATGCAGGCAAAGGTCATTTCAACATTAAAAAGAAAGAAAGTACTTTTTTAAATTTTTAGACTGTAGCACAAATTTAAAAGATGCCAAAGATTATGAGATGCCATTAATTCAAATTCTAGCTGACTTGATGTTTAATTAAACTATGAATTCAGCCTGGGTAAAATTAGCACATTACTTTCAGCAAGTCAGACAGAAATATTGAGCTGGCATGAATATGAGTGAGTTTTACGATGTACTAATATTTGTTTTGTCCTGCATTTTTGAAGCTGTGCCAGTATACAACTAGTCTTGTGGGGGAAAAAAAGGTTCCACACGACTGTATGAAATCCTGTTAAAAAAGAAGTACACCCCATGATTCAGAGAACCACCTTCAGAAACAGTAACTTAAGTTAATCATTTTCTATTCACATCTGCCTCTCACATGTTTTTCAGAATTTTTCAGTTTGTGAGGTTTGTGGACATTTGTTTAAAAATCCTTCAGGTGACAGTTGTTGGGATTTGGCGCTATGTGAATTGAATCGTTCATTCACGTTGAAGTGTGGACTTTGACTGCACCTTGATTGTTTTCTATTTCATAGATTTACTTTGTGCTTGGCATCATTGCACTGGTGCGTGTCCCAGTTTAGGATAAGCTTTATCTGTCAGACAGATATCCTCATGTTTCACTCAAGAATACTTTGGTATACTTTATGGTCAACTCAATGAGTGCAAGTTGCCATGGTCACTATCATGCTTGACAGTTGGTACGACGTATTTGTGGTAATATGCTGTTTGATTATTGCAAACATGGCACTTCGCATTATGGCCAAACAGCTCCACTTTAGCCTAGTCTTTCCAAATTAAATTGTTTAAGTCTTTTGGTTTGTTAAGATGCAACTTTGCAAAGCTAAACCATGGTGTTGTAATGTTTTCACAGAGAAGAGGCTTTCCTCTGGCAACACTTTAAATAAGCCATAGATTTTTAGCTGTTTTTTGTAACTTAACATGCTTACTGAGGCCTGTAGAGTCTGACATGTAGCTCTTTTTTGTGCGTATTTTTGCTGATCATTGCAGGGTCTAACTCTGCGCTGAATTTGCTTTGAAATCTACTCTTGAGAAGATTGTGGCATTGTGTTAACATGCAGCTGAATGATCCAGATCAGGAAACTGCCAAAATACTTCTTTTATAGAGGTGGTCACACTTACTGATGATCAGTTAGTCACATGCACCTGGCTGCTACTTATCCTCTTAGTTACTGTAGAAGCAGTGAGGGTGTACTTTGTTTTTTCTCAGGACTTCATAGAGTCCTAAAAAACCATGACTGTACTTTTCTGATTTCCATGTCTATCCTTTACCTAACATTTAGCCTTGTGGTGCATGGCTGCTTGCATGTGATGAAAGTAATTAAACCCATTGGACTCAAATTTATTTCCTTTTGCCTCCTTTTGGCTTGATGCTTCCCATATCCATTAATGGCAACATCTTTACAATCCTCATTTAATCTGCTGGGTTACTGATTTCTCTCCCTTTTTCTCCTCTTTTCCCCACTAACCCTTAAAGGAAAGAGCAGGGCGAGGCTACTTACAGGTTTGTATGACTCTCAGCTCATACTGACAAAGACACAAACACGTAAACAACTTAACATGTGATACAATTGTTTGATTATTTAGACGATTGTTTAATGACTTACACATTTTATAGACTGATTTCTGCTCTTATCTGGATTAGCTGGTTGTTTACTCCAGTTTTAGTTCGTTTGTCATTTGATTGTGTTGACAAATAAGAAATGGATGGTTTTTTTGTTTAGTGACATTTATTGCAGATTGCAGCTGACATCAAAGGGCAGAGACAAAAGGCCCAGTTTCTTGGTTTCTTTATTGATTTATGGAATGACTGAACCCTTATTTGCCCTCACATTACTTAACAGAATCTAGCCATAGTTTTGATTTGACATATGCTAAATGTACAATATTGCCCAGATGAATTGGAGAGGAGAAAAACTGTTCAAAAAGAGAGAGGCTGTGCTGCAGTGTTATGATACAACATAAAAAGGGTAATGAGCAATAGTGGACAGTTAATGATTATCAAGGCTGATTTGTTCTGATAAAAGAAAACCAGATGTGCAGTGTCACCCTTTACTTATTTTCACTGTTAGGAAATTCTGCTAATATATTGCAGTTCATTGATTTGAACTAAAACAGTGACATAATTAAGAGGTCACAAATGAGACTAACACTCAACCCAACAATATGAATTTTCCCCTTGTGGGACTAATAAAGGTATATCAATTCAATTCAAACAACAACAGACACTGAAATTCCTCAGGGCCCAGGCGATATACTTAGCAAATTTGAAATAGACTGAATGACAGGTTTCGAAACACACACACAATCTTGTTTTCATTTCTTAGTCGGAACATCTTATTGCCATAATGCTTTCCCTACCTGCATACCCTAACCATCAGAAACGAATGCCTAACTCTAACCTAACCATAACCATGACACTATGGTTTTTCTCAAATGCTAAAACACATTTCAAATGTTTCCACCATGTTCCCCAATGTCTAAACACAACACCCTTTTCTAAAGCTACATAAACACAACCACACCTTTCCACTGCAAAACTCAAACTTTCACACCAAAAGAGCAGCTTGAAGCTTTCAAAAATGTAAACAATATACACATTATTACACACTACAGCGAAAAAATTGAAAACACAATGCTCAATTTGTGAGAAGGTTCTTTGTTTCATAATTACATATTTTTAGAAACCATACAGTAACGGATCGTCATAGATCTCTGCAGAGGATTAGGCATTTAGATTTGTGAGTTTCATATGAAAAGTATAAATCTATAGAAAATCATGCATGTACGTACACTACTGTAACACAACTCAATGCAAAAACAGAATCTATTGCAAACAACAATACTCCTGAAAACATGATCAGGGTGTGAAGTTAGTCACACCACACACACCACAATCACTGTGCGGCATCATGTCGCTGTGCTGCATCGGGCCACATCACCTCATCCACATCGCAGGCTATATTGTCTCTTGCCAGGCACCGCGGGAAAAACGCCCTGGAATGGCAAATCCATCCTTGGAAGGCCTCCGCTGGGATGTCAACACAGGCCAGCTCCATTGCCCTTAGGTTCTCTCTTGTGTATGGTTGTCTGTCATAAACCTTCCATCTCCACGATGAGAA